GTAATATTTTGCTGGCAAAGATTGTAATGTTGACTGGTAATGCTCGAGCATTAGAAAGTAATTATATTTATCACCTCGTCTCATAAAGATCCGCCCAACCACTTGGACTGGATGGTAGAGTGACGGTCTTGCTTCTTGCAGGTCGTCGTTCAACCCTCGACCGTCCGAGTGGCTGAGCACCGTTCCTTTCCTCCGTCCCATCCCAAATCCTTGTCCTCGTATTCCTTCCAAGTGCTGCATAGTTTTAATGGCTTAGTGTTTTTTCCTGATAATTACCTTACTACTTTACCTCATGAAGATCCATTACATTTTGAACCACTCAAGAATTTGTAACCTATATTCTCACATGTATGAGGCATATAATTATCTGTTTTTCAGTCTTGACCAGTTTGGCTATTGTATTCTTTTCTTGTAGTGAGGTATTCCTTCTAGGTTTAGTTGCGTATGGAGACTATTGTGCCTTAAAATATTCAATATCATCCACTCGTGGCCTTGTCATCTCTTGAAGATTGCTTTGCATAGCAGAGGGACCATCATATTGTACAGTAAATTCCAAGACCTGTTGAGCTTATGAGCAATTAGTCAAAAGGTCTCTAAGCAAATGAGAACTGTAGGAAAATCTAATTTTGCAAGAATAGGAGTATGCTCAGGCGATTGAAATAAGGTAGTTTCACTGGTGACCAGTGAGAGATTATTTTACGCTTATTAATGTATACCGTACTAAATTATCCGAGTTAACCAAGGGGGCTGAGTAAATGATCTAATGTCACCATGTATGTGGCTGGTAATTAAGATATTGTTTGTTCAGGTAGCTATCACTGTTGTGAAAGAATACTAATGAGTATTTTAATTAGTGTGTGCCAGTCCCCTACACTTAGTGAATGAGAGATCACCAAGGACCTGTTAAAATAGTAACAGTTGCCGGAATGTATGACACAAGTTGACGCGAGGGAGGGAAGACTTTGTACATGTGCACAATTTTACGTCTGCATTTTATAAGTTACCTGGTAAGATAAATTGTCAAAAGAGAGTGTAAATGTATTAAGACACACACATGATAAGTATCTAATACAGTACATACAAAATTCTTCCCTCGATAAAGGTGTTAACATATGGGGAACTGGATGTGGTAATGAGTAATATAATATTGTCATAAGCAGTTAAGGATATCATTTCAGGGAACAGATTTTATTAAACGATATTTATGAACCAAGGTGGTTATATTTTTCCCTTTCTTGCAGCAAGAGAATGAGAGCTTTTTGTGGTTCCATCTTGGTATTTGTTAGATGTCAAACTTGAGTGGGGCTCCAGATGTAGAAAATAGACGGCTTAAGTCAACGGCTCGGCCACTAAAATTTTTTATTTTATATTTAGTGATTATTGTAGCTTCTTTTTCCTCTCATTATAATGCAATGAATAATGACAAGAGAACATTATAGAAATAAAGCTAAATTTTGATATGAATATGAAGCCCGGTAAGTTTTGTGGGACCTAGCATGTGACAAGTAACATATAAAAAGTACTTTATATATTACAGGTTGTTATAGGTGTAGATGACCTCTGACATATTAGTAACATTACTAATGTTTGAAAAAACTGCTTAGACATAAATAATAGAATTGCAATATGCCTTCCCAACAACACTTTCCAGTGGCATGTCATTTGTTGTGGCGTGTATATTTCTTGATTACTGGTGTCTTTGTCTATTCTTGGTACAGTAGTATGATTACTACGAGGCTTGACCTGAGCTGCTTAAACAAGATGAATAAAATCATTGGTTTAGTCATTAACAAGTGAATTCCTAAAGCCAGGAAACAAATACCATGCCAAGGAACCTACTGCAATGTACATTTTTCTGTGATACAGTACTTCTTCCATGTCATGTGGTCTTGTATGTTTGAAAGAGTAGCTTGGACTTGAACAGTTAGTAGACAGAATTGAATTTCTGAAACACACAATTTTATATGTAGTGTTTAAATCTTTATATTTTAGGATAGGTAAGAAAAGCTATAATTACAAGAAAAATGTGACCATGTGTGCATGTGGAGGCGTTTCCTCGCCCCCACTTATGCACGCTTGGGTGCATGCCTGTATAAATGTGTGCAATGTATGATGTATAATGCATGATGTATATAAATTTGCATTTGCATGCACAAACAGCTTCAGAGTTCTAGTTTGTTAAATGCCATTATATCATCTTAAATACTTTTCATAATACATTTTCTCCTGTTTCTGTTCGACATTTGTAGTATCATCTACTCATAACATTATAAAGAAATACACCGACAACGACTATTTGGTCTACTTTTCATTGACTGCGTGTATATTGCCTATTTCCCATGTGCCTTCTCAACAGTTGGTAACATCCCCTAATTATAGCCAGAAAATCCATATGATCAATATTAATAACGATGTCACTTGTTTTCGTTATGAGATAGACATCCAAGAAGAACTAAAATATTAGGGTGTCCCCTAAGTAGAAATAACATTTTTTTTTTTAGTTGGGTGTTTGTCTTGAAATCTTCAGTCTTGAAACTAAGCTTGAATAAGTTAGGAAGGTAATGTACAGTATATTATTATATTTTGTTAAAGTTTGTCAGGATAGTGAGTTCTATTAAGGAGTGTGACTCATTGAGCCAAATAATTAGTAACCATTGTATGTTTGTTTTTGTTAATAGAGGATGTCTAGTAAATTATGTATTTTCTATGAATTTATGTGATTAATGCCAAAAACTGTTGTTTTTATAGTCTCATTGTAGTAGGGTGTGGTCAGTACAATAGTGTGCAATTAGTTATGTAATTAGGAAAATACTTGTGTATTTAATTGCAAGCTTAAATACATAGGATAAATATGATGGAAATTTATGGCACAAAAATATAGGTTCTTGCAAGATAAGGTGATGGATTTATGACAACTGAATATAACAAGATTATCTGTACTTTTCCCTTCATTTCTTAAGGTATTGTTTGTTAATAATGCTTAGAAATTTATATATTGAAGAAATTAAAAAAAAATACTTCTGGGATTTCTGTCCTCTTAGTTTTGTTAAAAAGATTGTAGGTGGCGTTTGTGACAGTAGGTCTCTGCTTGCGCTTCTATTACATTGCTTAACACAATTATTTCCCCTTACATCTGTTGTCACATTGTTTATGTACCCCAGCTACATAAATAAATGCAATCAATATTCATTAGTTTGTGTTTATCCTTAAAAATATGTTTATACACAGTTTGGCCATGATACTTCGGCACTCAGTAGTGGAATGATTTTTGGCTGTATTTGTGGTGTCTGGCTATAGTAAATTCACTTACTCTGCCCTGTAGGTGCATTAATTGCAATGGTGTTCATGTTGCATTCTTTCAGTCCTAGTTTCACTTTAAAACAGATTAGTTTGTCCTCCACCTTAAACAATGACAAGATCCCTTTCTCAGAAGTTAGGCATTTATTACTATGTCTCACCCATGCTTGTCAATCCCCTTAACCCTTTGATCTGCCCCATAATCATTTTGTTGTAATGAAAACAGTGCTCTCGACTTGAAGCACCACTTGTTTCCTGCCCCTCCATAGTCTGCTGCCTTGAAATCTTCATAGAAATGACATTACTGCACCCAGTCTCACACACTACTTTCACTTTCGGAAACAGAGTGGTAGACGGTTGGAACAAGTTAGGTGAGAAGGTGGTGGAGGCCAAGATCGTCAGTAGTTTCAAAGCGTTATACGACAAAGAGTGCTGGGAAGATGGGACACCACGAGCATAGCTCTCATCCTGTAACTACACTTAGGTAATTACACTACTTTTCCCCAGCCCTCCATCACCATGCGCAGTCCTGATCCGTTTCTCCATCTCTTTGGCACCCCAAGTTCCTACCAGAGTCCTTATTGCCTCAATTCCTCCAGGTTAATCCTGATTCAGGTTTATACTGGTCTAGGTTTATCAGGGGTCCAGATTCTCTTAAGAGCAGGCCTAAATTATTCCACATGCTATAGACTTATATTTTCTTTAACATCCAACATATTATTAAGAATTTAACAAGTTCCTGTGCAGTTTTGTTTTTGTACAAATTAAATAGGAAAATCGTCAATAGATATGTCAATAAATATAAAAAAAACTCATATACGACCTATACAAACGCTTTAGAAAGGTATATACAAATGACTTTTTAACTCTTTACCCCACTCAGTCCGTAGTGTAAATCTGGGCACACGACCTTCATGTAATAATGTATCAGCATTGATGATGTTTTTCCAACGTTGATCCAACAATGATGACGTTAATGGCGTTGACCCAACGTTGATTGAAGGTTACTGGAGCATGCTTTGCTTGCTGGGATATAGCACATACCCACTGGCTGCAGGGTTACGTGGGTTGCTTCACTATTACCTGAAAAATTATTTACTTTTCACACAAAAACCAGTTTAACTGTGCGCCAAAATATATTTTCAAGTGATAATAATAATTTTTTCAAAACATATAATTCACGTATTGAAATAATAAGAAAATGTGACAATACCGTTGATAAAACAAGTAGCCAGTAAACTTTCACAGTACTGAGAACTTGAAAGGTGTTTCAGTCTGTTTCCCTATAAGTTGTTTGGTGTTGGTCTCATGGTCCATTATTGACCTTTGGAGGGTTATTAAGGCCGCCTAATAGCTTATTGACCAAGTTTACTTTAGTTCAGGACTAAAATAAACTCTATAAACATATATACACTGTATATATATGAACATACACCGAGAAATGGGCTAACCTCCGGGTCACCTGAAACACCCTTAACTATTCCTCTATACTGAATAAGTTTATTTTAGTTTAATATTTATAAATATCTTAAAATATCAAGGCCTTGTGCCACGATAATTAATATTTAATAGGCCATGTAGGGTTTAATGGTAATTTTGCAAAATCAAACCTTCAGATCCAAATGTTCTGTTTAAAATATTCGTTAAACATTTTAATTGTCCATTAATTGTAAATTATAGTTAATAAAATTAATAAACTCGCCTCGTTAAGTTGTCTCCGTCAGTCTCTCCAGCTTGGTCACTGGTCACACCAGAGGGGAGGAACCCCTGGTCACACCAGAGTGGAGGAACCCCCTGGTAACATCAGAGTGGAGGAACCCCTGGTCACACCAGAGTGGAGGAACCCCTGGTCACACCAGAGTGGAGGAACCCCTAGTAACATCAGAGTGGAGGAACCCCTAGTAACACCAGAGGAAGAACCACTGGTAACACCAGAGGGGAGGAACCCCTGGTCACACCAGAGTGGAGGAACCCCTGGTAACATCAGAGTGGAGGAACCCCTGGTAACATCAGAGTGGAGGAACCCCTAGTAACATCAGAGTGGAGGAACCCCTAGTAACACCAGAGGAAGAACCACTGGTAACACCAGAGGGGAGGAACCCCTGATAACACCAGAGGGGACGCAAACAGCACATAGAAGGTACCAGTCAGCTTGGTCAACGACGTCAAGAGGCACAGTGGTCATTCCGCTAACCAGTCATCTAGGTATGGTAAGAAAAGCTTAAGAAGCAAGCCCAAGCCATGTGAGTGTCTGGTGTCAGTAACTGTCACTGACTCCTGCCATACATCTGCTGCTCTTGGCTCCCAGGTTGAGATTAACGTATAAATACTTTCGGTTATCACCAACACAAATGAACAGATCTCTATGCTTTTTAGTTTTAAGTCAAATAAATAGAGATAATTATGACTTGGCCTGGTCCAAGTTCTGCCCTTGAATGCATGCAGTGATTCAGAATTAAATATGCATATAATTTTGAACCGATGACAAAGTATCTTCAGATATGACAAGCATAAATAATGCAATGTAATATAATGACTGTTGCTAATAAGGGCCTCAAAGCCTTATGTGAAACAATAAAGTAGTTGGGTTCTCCAGAAGGTTCACTGAATATTTCTAAAATATTATTTATAACCTCTGGGTCCTGAGGGTACATTCTGCTCGAATTTTTATTTCCGTTAGTCACTTTACATTTTTCACTGGTTAGATTTTTTACACTTTGAAGCACACTGGCGATATTATATGGAGTGTCTCTAGTTATATGGACTCCACAAATACTGATGTTAATATAAAGATCGTTTAGTGCACTGCTGAGGTTTTTGTAACTGTGGGTGTGCTCGGAGCAAGTGCAGCTGTTCTCTGGAACGAGAAGACCTACAGTTGTCTTGCCTGAATCAAGCGTCACATTTATATTACTGTAGTGGGTGTCCAAGAGGTCGACTGTGCCTCCCTCACAGCGGACCTCGTCACTGGTGCATACATTCAGACGGAAGAAGTTGTTCCCTTTGTTGTCCAGAGGAACTTGCAAGGTGTGGTGGTAGTCACTGCTCTGTCTCAGACCCTCTGACGGTGTAAATGTGGTAAGGCAGCTTTCTTGTGTTACATTCATGTGTTTTGATATATTCCATGAAAGACTTTTGTCTTTTATTAATTGATCGTAGAGAGGAGTGCCATCGAAATGTGCAGACCCATCCGAGCAGCCACACTCCGTGTCCTCCATGTAGCTGATGATGACCACAACACAGGAGCCATTAACACGTGAGTTCCAACGTCCCAATATTCTGTAGCTGCTGTGCAAGCCTCGCGATATATAACTGCTGTGCAAGCCTGGCGACGTGTAGCTGCTGTGCAAGCCTCGCGACTGCTGATCAATTATACACGCCTGAAAATGTGGAGAGCACAAGTTGACAGGCAGAATACTGTTGTTATTAGGCAGATGCTTCAACAACAGATCCTTCTCAGACGGCAAGAGACTCTGCTCTCCAGACACAGAGATTTTGAAGCTGGTGAAGACGTTAAGGAAAGTTGTTCTGTACTTGAGCCTGGGTTGGTCAGCTAGAGGGCGGGGCGGCCGCACGAGCAAAGCAAGAGACACTGCCACCATCTGCCAGAAAAAAAAAACGCTTTTTATCACTCACCGAGATCATATTTAGTCTTTAAATATAAGAACATAAAAATAATGGAGACTGCAGAAAGCCCATGGAAGGTACGTGCTATCTATGGAACAGATTTCCTGGAAACACTTAACCTAACCTATCCTAACCTAACCCAACCCAACCTAACCTAACCTAGCCATGCCTAACCTAACATAACATAACTAGATTAGTAATTCATGTTCTTAACGTAATATAATAATGCTAATTCAAATAAACCAATTGAAAATATATATTTGAAAATAACAAAAATCACTCTAGTCTGTTAGGAAAGTCGAGCCTTGCATACTAAGCCAAGTAGTATCTGGTACGATATATATATATATATATATATATATATATATATATATATATATATATATATATATATATATATATATATATATATATATATATATATATATATATATATATATATATATATATATATATATCTTTTTCTCCTACCACCCCCTTTCTTGAATATTTGTTGTGCTTTATTATGCATTTGATGGTTACAAGATATACATGGGTTGATACAAAAATAATAATGCAAAAAGGTGCTTAAAGGTTATGGATCTCTTGAAGAACACAACAATGGGAAACATTGATGAATGTCACAGACGGGTTCGATCATTGTTGCAAGTCAAACACTTCTTCGAATTCCTCTGAAGTTGGACTAGTGCCCAAGACGCAACAGGCATTTCCCCTCTGAATCGCAACACTGAGGCGCTGGAACAAGAAACTTTTTGCTCTCTGGTCTTTTGTAGCGCTGATCAATTTGTCCCCCAATTCCTTCAGGAACTTCAATGCACATTTTCCCCACGAACCGAGGGTCTCCGAGCCAATCGGAACAAAGCTGTAGCAGTGTGCTAGACCTCTGTATTTAATAATTTTCTGCGATTCCCTGAAAGAAGCAGCACCACCGCTTTCACGTGTGCTGTAGTGGAGGTAGGTACTGGCCAGTGTGGCAGCGCACGTGTAGTCCCATACCACTTGCTTACCATTCTTCCAAGGTAGCAAGGTGACCCCATCAGGGCGCTTCTGAGGGTCGTTAGGTCTGGATAAGTGTGGTTCTCTTTGTGCCGGGCAGCGGGCTGTGGCGAGGCTCCTCTTGATGATGTCGTTGACTTCTTCATGTCTTGCAATTTTACCCTGTGATTTACGACATACCAGACCATGACGACCATATTGGTCTGCCATCGCAGTTCCGCAGATGCACCTATGTTCGGTGAGGATGGGGGCGGCAAGGCGAAGGGCAACTCCAATGCGGAGAGCGTCATGACTGAGGCGAGTTCCCAGGGCTGCATTGGGCACAGCAAATAAAAAATCCCCGGCGTGGGGTGCTATATATATATATATATATATATATATATATATATATATATATATATATATATATATATATATATATATATATATATATATATATATATATATATATATATATATATATGAATGAAAACTCACACCCCAGAAGTGACTCGAACCCATACTCCCAGAAGCAACGCAACTGGTAACTACAGGGCGCCTTAATCCGCTTGACCATCACGGCCGTCAAAAGGAAGTGATAGCCGAGGCTATTTGAGCCACTTCCCCGACGGCAACTCGGATGGTAATCTTGGGCATAGCATTTCACCAAATCACCTCATTCTTTGGGGCACACGTGAGGAACACAAATGCGAACAAGCCTGAATGGTCCCCAGGACTATATGCGAATGAAAACTCACACCCCAGAAGTGACTCGAACCCATACTCCCAGAAGCAACGCAACTGGTAACTACAGGGCGCCTTAATCCGCTTGACCATCACGGCCGTCAAAAGGAAGTGATAGCCGAGGCTATTTGAGCCACTTCCCCGACGGCAACTCGGATGGTAATCTTGGGCATAGCATTTCACCAAATCACCTCATTCTTTGGGGCACACGTGAGGAACACAAATGCGAACAAGCCTGAATGGTCCCCAGGACTATATGCGAATGAAAACTCACACCCCAGAAGTGACTCGAACCCATACTCCCAGAAGCAACGCAACTGGTAACTACAGGGCGCCTTAATCCGCTTGACCATCACGGCCGTCAAAAGGAAGTGATAGCCGAGGCTATTTGAGCCACTTCCCCGACGGCAACTCGGATGGTAATCTTGGGCATAGCATTTCACCAAATCACCTCATTCTTTGGGGCACACGTGAGGAACACAAATGCGAACAAGCCTGAATGGTCCCCAGGACTATATGCGAATGAAAACTCACACCCCAGAAGTGACTCGAACCCATACTCCCAGAAGCAACGCAACTGGTAACTACAGGGCGCCTTAATCCGCTTGACCATCACGGCCGTCAAAAGGAAGTGATAGCCGAGGCTATTTGAGCCACTTCCCCGACGGCAACTCGGATGGTAATCTTGGGCATAGCATTTCACCAAATCACCTCATTCTTTGGGGCACACGTGAGGAACACAAATGCGAACAAGCCTGAATGGTCCCCAGGACTATATGCGAATGAAAACTCACACCCCAGAAGTGACTCGAACCCATACTCCCAGAAGCAACGCAACTGGTAACTACAGGGCGCCTTAATCCGCTTGACCATCACGGCCGTCAAAAGGAAGTGATAGCCGAGGCTATTTGAGCCACTTCCCCGACGGCAACTCGGATGGTAATCTTGGGCATAGCATTTCACCAAATCACCTCATTCTTTGGGGCACACGTGAGGAACACAAATGCGAACAAGCCTGAATGGTCCCCAGGACTATATGCGAATGAAAACTCACACCCCAGAAGTGACTCGAACCCATACTCCCAGAAGCAACGCAACTGGTAACTACAGGGCGCCTTAATCCGCTTGACCATCACGGCCGTCAAAAGGAAGTGATAGCCGAGGCTATTTGAGCCACTTCCCCGACGGCAACTCGGATGGTAATCTTGGGCATAGCATTTCACCAAATCACCTCATTCTTTGGGGCACACGTGAGGAACACAAATGCGAACAAGCCTGAATGGTCCCCAGGACTATATGCGAATGAAAACTCACACCCCAGAAGTGACTCGAACCCATACTCCCAGAAACAACGCAACTGGTAACTACAGGGCGCCTTAATCCGCTTGACCATCACGGCCGTCAAAAGGAAGTGATAGCCGAGGCTATTTGAGCCACTTCCCCGACGGCAACTCGGATGGTAATCTTGGGCATAGCATTTCACCAAATCACCTCATTCTTTGGGGCACACGTGAGGAACACAAATGCGAACAAGCCTGAATGGTCCCCAGGACTATATGCGAATGAAAACTCACAATGTATTATATATTCATTATATAATACACAACTAGTTGTAATAGTTGTGTATTATATATACACAACTATATTCTACCCACCTCAAGACTCCGCTCCAATATAGAAGCATCAAGAAATATGGACCAATAGGCTTTCTACAAACACTTCTATTCAATACCCATTGTTTTTGTTCTGTCTTGTGTTGATACTTTTAATACCCTATTAATATCCCCTAGTGTTCTGTCTTGTGTTAATGCCACATCACCCTTCCCACCTCACTCAAATGTAATGCCACATCACCCTTCCCACCTCACTCAAATGTAGATATAAAATCAGGGAAACGCAAGTTCTAATCAGTTGTGTATTTGTGAAGTCTTTGAAAATGTAATAAGTTTTACGAAACGCGCCCGTGTCGCGTCAGACTAGAAATAAAAATGAATTTTGGAGAAGTGATTTTTGATTTACCTCCAACAGTGAAGCGTAATGTACGAAAGATTGAGAAAATTCGTGTTAGAATTATTAATCTTACTTTTTCGGTCATATTTAATAATATATATATATATATATATATATATATATATATATATATATATATATATATATATATATATATATATATATATATATATACATACATACATACATATATATGCGGAAAATCCACAGAGAAAAGGAAGATAGACGTTTTGGCTGATTGAAGGTCGTTGTCAACACCAGACTTCTCTTCCATTTTTCTGTGGATTTCCCGCATACAAATGATCAGTCAATTCCATTATATATGTATATTCTCTAACTTGTTCTTAAAACAATCCAGCGAGCCCCACGCCTATTATACTACCCAGCTGTCTGCTCTATAAATCTACAGTCCAATTTCCAAAACATCATTAACTCATTAACTAAATTTGTTCTAAGTTTATTTAATTTGCATCCATTATTCGTCTTATATTTTTGTATCGATATTCTGACCAGTTAATTCATATACCGCTTGTTATACCAATTTATCCTTTTGAATACTCAGTCATGACTCCGCCTTATTTTGTCGCCCTTGTTGATAATATATTAATAATTCATTGTATCAGGGGACAGGCAGCCTGGTTACACACATACAGTATATTTTAGGATTATTTAGAGGTCCGCCCCCCCCCTTCAACCCCCGGGGTCGAATTACTGACACAAGACTGTGGGCTATAAACATTTTAAAGGCACTACGATCACCTTCTGTGGTTCAATAAATCTCTGAACTGTATGTTTGACAAATCTTTCACCCTGTCCATGGAGGACAGAAGAAAATGTATATATGCTAGTTAGCATTGTAAATGTGTGGCCACGTCTGTGGTAGAAAATAATAATAATAATAATAAAAACTCTTACATTTAAAACAAGTGTGTGCCCCATCCCCTCCCCAATATCCCTGGAGCCATTGTCAATTGTATGTCACTCAATAATGCCGCCTCTAAAGTTCTTAACATTATTAATATTAACGTTATCTGAATAATGTTTCTTATCAGGCCTTATCTCACATTACCGCAATACATACAACATATTAGCAGCCCTCTGTTCAAGATATACACAAACTGAACCAGGTGATAACAGCTGCAGAGGTGACAACCTTGAAGGGAGCTACTAGAGTGATGATTGTGATTTTGTTCGTTTATTGTGCATACAGGTATTCTCATCCTGTGGGTGGTAATGGTCCCCCCAGTCCCATCCTGTGGGTGGTAGTGGTCCCCCCAGACCCATCCTGTGGGTGGTAGTGGTCCCCCCAGTCCCATCCTGTGGGTGGTAGTGGTCCCCCCAGTCCCATCCTGTGAGTGGTAATGAACCCCCCCAGTCCCATCCTGTGAGTGAGCGGTAGTGGAAACGGATGCAGACAGAATGATCTTGGAAACTGAATATATATATATATATATATATATATATATATATATATATATATATATATATATATATATATATATATATATATATATATATATATTTGCCATGATTATCTTGTAAAGTTGTTTACATCCACTAGATCCTGGGTAGCCTCTCTCACCTGGGCTTGCAAGATCACGAGGCTTCAGGTTCATGGGTTTACATAGTGTAAACTATCAATATAACATTATACTATTATAAATGTTTAACATGTGCAGTAAAGAGACAGGAAACTATTTCCACGTGAAGGCTCCTTGGTAATGCCCGTCCTGACTTCCATTCCATATGTGGGTTGGATTATTTATTAGCCTCGTTATTACGACTTATTCTCTTATCTCTGTGAAGTCACTAGCCACCCCAGCCTCACAAACAATAGGTAAATGCTCGTTCATCCAATCCAAGTGTTCAATCCCTAATCATCCAAGTGGTTGGGCCCCATTCCTCCCCCCCCCCGTCCCATCCCAAATCTTTATCCTGGTCCCTTCTAAGTGCTATAGCGTCGTAATGGCTTGGCGTTTTCCCTTGATAGTTCCCTTCCCTTCTCAACCCAAGCTATGAGACTGATATTGACTTAGGTAAATATTAATCTCAGCAGACAACCACCTGACAGTGGGACCTTTTCAAACGGTATGGTAACAGATTTTTCTCAAGTATTAATTAATATTATATGTTGTTGTTATAGATTCAGCTACTCGGAAGAAGTTCCAAGTAGCACAGGCTATGGTGAGCCCGTAACTTACCTGGCACAGGAGCGGGGCAAGTAGCACGGGCTATGGTGAGCCCGTAGTGGACTTACCTGACACAGTAACGGTGCTGTAATATTATATATTGTGGGTGTATGTATAGTTAGGCCTAGGTAAGGTGTTTGGGTTACTTTCATCTAGGGAATGTTTATCCTACAGGCTGGAGCTTGGACGAGCATAACCCAAGGATTGGTTGCATTTGCACTTAGAAATTAAGGCTTTCATTCCCCTTCAGTCATGCTTCCCGAGACAAGAAACTCCGCTGACAGTCTTAAAGATACGCGTGTCTCAAGTTATTTTATGGTCGTCGAATCAAACTTTGTGTTTTGCATTTGTGTTCAAATCCTGTGATAACGAGGAGGGGTTCGGCGGCCCAGGACCACTCCTTCCTATATCTCTGTGTACACCTACTCGCAGTTATATAAAAGCTACTTTGGATTAAAATAAAAGAACACAATGGATTACTGTAACATTGTGGTTAATATGAAATGGTTTGATTAGCGAGCGAGAGGCCATACAAGAGAACCGTTCAACACCCGTTGTTAGCTTGACACGGGATTATCATCAGATACGAGTCTGGGCTGTAGTCCAGCGCTGAATATCCCTGTCAGGTAGATCAATGGGTGACGCCACCACTAAATTAAATAACCACATCCAGTTGGCGCCAGCCAGACGCCCTTACGTGACGGGCGGGTGTTCACGGGTGGCCACGGGTGTTCACGGATGGCCACGGGTGTTCACGGATGGCCACGGGTGTTCACGGATGGCCACGGGTGTTCACGGATGGCCACGGGTGTTCACGGGTGGCCACGGATGGCCACGGGTGTTCACGGATGTCCACAGGTGTTCACGGGTGGCCACGGGTGGCCACGGGTGTTCACGGGTGGCCACGGATGGCCACGGGTGTTCACGGATGGCCACGGGTGTTCACGGATGGCCACGGGTGTTCACGGGTGTTCACGGATGTCCACAGGTGTTCACGGGTGTCCCCGGGTGGCCACGGGTGTCCCCGGGTGGCCACGGGTGTTCACGGGTGTTCACGGGTGTTCACGGATGTCCACAGGTGTTCACGGGTGGCTACGGGTGTTCACGGGTGGCCACGGGTGTTCACGGGTGTTCACGGATGTCCACAGGTGTTCACGGGTGGCCACGGGTGTCCCCGGGTGGCCACGGGTGTCCCCGGGTGGCCACGGGTGTTCACGGATGGCCACGGGTGTTCACGGATGTCCACAGGTGTTCACGGGTGTCCCCGGGTGGCCACGGGTGTCCCCGGGTGGCCACGGGTGTTCACGGATGGCCACGGGTGTTCACGGGTGTTCACAGATGTCCACAGGTGTTCACGGGTGTTCACGGGTGTCCCCGGGTGGCCACGGGTGTTCACGGGTGGCCACGGGTGGCCACGGGTGTTCACGGGTGGCCACGGATGGCCACGGGTGTCCCCGGGTGGCCACGGGTGTCCACGGGTGTTCACGGGTGTTTACGGGTGTCCCCGGGTGGCCACGGGCGGCCACGGGTGGCCACTGGGGGTTGCATCTTTACTGTTTTCTAGGAATTACGTTATTTCAAGAATTAAAAAAAATATAACTAATAATTTTCTGGTTCTAATTTTAATATTTATTATTTGCCCTTTCACTAAGCACCATTAGTGAAAGTATATATAATATTCATAAACTGTTTTTTTTTTAATTTTAGTTCTGTGGTAATTATAATTTGATTTGGTGGAAAGTTTACTGAGCAAATTATTTGTATCATTTTAGTCAAGATTGTACCTGAATTTACCCCTAGACCTATGGTCTACACCTGTGGTGGCCTCGACGGGACAGGAAGCTGGCGGCTTGTCAAAGGTCCGCCCACCCCCTACACCCTCCCTAATCCCCGAATTATTATTATTATTATTAGTTTGTCCTTATCATCTGTCTCCATTCCAAAGCTGATATTTCTCGGTGGAAAATAATGGAGCGTATTTACTATAACGTGCTGTGCTTGGCAACAAGAATCTCCCGAATAATCTTTTACGTTGTACGCTTACCGGGGAGTGTGGATGAATGAGGCAGCCAGCGGGGGTGAAGATTAAGCCACCCAAAAGGTGGCACGGGCATGAATAGCCCGTAAGTGGTGGCCCTTTTGAGCCATTACCAGTATCATTAGCTGATACTGGAGATCTGTGGAGGTGCGACTGCACCCTGCGTGACGGGAGATGTCTCCCGTGTATACAGAGTCGTGTTGTGGATTGGTTACCTGGTTGATGGGGTTCTGGGAGTTCTTCTACTCCCCAAGCCCGGCCCGCGGCCAGGCTTGACTTGTGTGAGTTTGGTCCACTAGGCTGTTGCTTGGAGCGGCCCACATACCCATCACAGCCCGGTTGGTCCGGCACGCCTTGGAGGAAACAATCTAGTTTTCTCTTGAAGGTGTCCACGGTTGTTCCGGCAATATTTCTGATGCTCGCTAAATATTGTGTAGTGGCAACACCGGCTGTGGTATCTTGACTAGACATTCAGGTTGTATAACCTATAAGCGTGACGGAGATTTTCATATTGATACAAATAATGGGGGAAAAAATACCCTTTGGCGTAGAAGGGAAGGGAACTATCAGGGGAAAGTGCCAAGCCATTACGACTATATAGCCCTTGGAAGGGGGTCAGGATAAGGATTTGGGATGGGACGGGGAGGGATGGAATGGTGCCCCAACCACTTGCACGGTCGGGGGATTGAACGCCGACCTGCAGGAAGCGAAACCGTCGATCTACCGTCCAGCCCAAGTGGTTGGGTTGGATGGAAGAGCTAACACACACACACACACACACACACACACACACACACACACACACACACACACACACACACACACACACATACATACATACATACATACATACATACATACATACATACATACATACATACAAAAATACATACATTCAAACATACACCGTATATAGGCGGATCAAAACGTGTACGAGACAGGAGAACATAGCGGTTGCCAGAAGCCTGCTGGTCTACCGTGACAGGTGGCGACTCTCCTCACCCTGATCACTCCAGGTGTAAACTCTGCGTCAAGGAACTGGGGTCACGCTCTCAAACACAACACCATTGACTGTCCAGCCACCAAGAGACCCTTACACCTGACGGTGTGGAGCCTTGTAATTACATCTATTAACTCACGTATTCTAGAGAATAACCTTATCATGCATCACAGGTTTGCCAGTGGAAGCTGCCGATTACGTGTGACGAAGCGTCTAGCGAGATAAACATGTTTCGCTACCACATAACTGGATCACGGCACACACTATGCGACCCTTAGTGAAGTTTAGGCAGCTGCTTAAATGCAGATATTCAGCATCTAATATACTTTCTTGATGGGGTTCTGGGAGTTCTTCTACTCATCAAGCCCGGCCCGAAGCCAGGTTTGACTGATATTGAGGCCATAACCCCAGTGCTTGGCTTTCTATCCGGGGGGTTACAGACCTAGCAATTAATTTCAGCGGTTCACTGTTGTTGTTTCAGATTTAGCTACTCAGAACGAAGTGTCCATGTAGCACGGGCTATGGTGAACCCGTAAAGCGATTCACTGGTCTTTTGTGGTGAGTGAGTACGCGGTGACCAGACACGAGTCGTGTGTATATACGCGTGGACCTGCTCCTGCATAACCAAGCTGCTTGAAGACACCTTTAATCTATTGAAATCAACGCTAAGAGCAGCTTTCGTACGCACCATGTGCAACCAGGCTCAGAAACTGATCGTAATTGGGGTCCCTTGGAGCGTTATATGCTGGACGACCGGATCCCAGCCGACCGAGGCAGTATACTCACCTTAGCCAGGAGAGGCATAATTGACGGGTTAATGCTGGTAGACAGGGACTCCTTAGACACACACTGAGACAGGTGCTCGCCCCAAGACGTCCCTCGTGTGACTGGCGCGTCTTCGACGGTTATCTATGATAATCTCTTATCTTGGGAGAGTTCCAACATAAATCTTTAGCTCATAAATGTGCCATTTATTGCAGGAAGTACGTGATCATAACGCGAGTGAACCCCTAGACACCCGGCACGCGTGTGTATGGAAGGAGGCTGTCCCGGGCCGTCCCGGGCCGTCCCGGACTGTCATGGACTGTCCTGGACCGTTATCAGGTAGACCTGTGGGGCTCCGGGGCGGACCCGAAGGTCACAACTTTTAATTTCACGCGTGTTGGGGACCGGTGATATTTCCCTCTCTCTCTCTTTCTCTCTCTTTCTCTCTCTTTCTCTCTCTCTTTCTCTGTAGTGGACTTACCTGACACAGGGGCGGTGCTGTGTACACAATACAGTTATTATTGATCTTAATAGTAATGATACCTGCTCCAGTCATTATCATTACTATTATTGGTCTTAATAGTAATGATAATGACTGGAGGAGCAGGTAAAGAGGAGGACGGCTCCTGCAGGCCGCCAGCCTCCCGCTGTCTGTACGGACCACAGCGCCAGCCAACATATTTTGGGTTTAGAAACTGGATCTGCTCTGATTCCTTTTGGTGGTCAAGGGTGCTTTCTCATCCTGATACACCTTTATTCCTTCTTCCCTCCCTCCCTCTCTCCCTCCCTCTATCCACCTACCTTCCCTTCCACCATTACCTTACTTCCCTCTAGTATCTATGCAACTTAACCTTCTAACCATTAAAGAATAGCTCTTAAGCTAGCTCCAAAATAGCTCAAAATATTTAGAGTTTTCAAATAATCCCTGTGGGGCCACTAGCACATCCAGACCTAGTTCACGAACCACTGTGTGTCTCTGCATCGCACACTCCTTTACTGCCTAGAAGATAGGCAATGTGACTGTCCAATATGACTGATGGCTGTCATATTGCCTAACTGGGACTGGTAAGTCTCAATATGACGACGATTACATTTTAATTTCATTCAATTAATTTTCGACTCTGCAGGAGAAAGCTGAAGTATTTGGTGTTGATGGACGAGACGGCGGGTGCTTGGTCATATGGGGGAAAACATATTTTGTCAAAATTTCCCCTTAAGTATGCTTGGGTTTCTGGTGTGTATGGGAGCAGCTGCCTCAGTGTTCGCTGTGCTGCTGGGGAGATCGAACTGGACGTTGGTGCTGTGTGTGACCAGAACGTCGCTTTTGGCCGTTTGCCCGTATGGCCGAATTTGGACGTAATTTGAAATTGAAAAAAAATGAAAATAAATTTGCGATTTTTTTTTTCAACAACAGTAAGTTAAGGGTCCTCTGATAGGTTAGGTGGGCAGGAAATTCTCATAAAGTTTCAAAACGTTATGAAAAACGTTAATTTAAAGTGTCCTCTTATAACCTCTGCGTGTACGCCGGACGACTCAAATAGAAAACGGAACAGAACGTCACTTTTGTGAGTCGATTTCATTTCAAATTACGTCCAAATTTGGCCATAGCGCGCATACGAGCCAAAAGTGACGTTATTTTTAAGAGGACGGGTTGAACGTCTCACTCCATCCTTTGAATTACAAATGTTTGCTTGTTATATTTGAAGACAATGAATCAGGACGTGGGTTTTAAAGTTTGTGAATTATAATTGATCCCACCATAGATAACAGTGTTGGTGAGACTAAACACAACGCTGACGATGAAGGCTAATATGTCATTGTTGTGGGTGTTGTTGCTGGCGTCGGTGCTGGAGGACTCGGCTCACGGGCTTGCCGCTACGGTCACTCTCGCTCCAACGAACACTTTGGGCTTCCAGCTGGGGAAGCTGTCGGTGTTCCAGGTGTTGCTGCTGGTTCTGACCTTCGTCAAGATATCGGTGTTGACGGCAACGGGAGTGCTGCCCATGGCCGTCGACCTGAGTAACATCTGGCAGACCTTCATCTACCTGCTGAAGGCCACGAGGAAGCGCAAGCACAAGGACACCTGTTTACAGCATGTGGCCGTGACGGAGGGTCGCCCGGACGACGCTCACACGCGATACGACGCAGGTTCTGGCCGGAGTAGTTACCCCGTGAGTTCATACACTGACGAAATCCGCCACATTCTTTCCTCTTCAAACTTTATCTTTTGCTTCCGTCCGTAAGTGCATTGCTTCCCCTCACCTGCACTGTCTCCCTTACCTCTACTGTCTCCCTGAAATTACTACCATGGTAGTATGACGATACCTCCCACGGTACCATTTCACTATTATGGTCCCCCACACTACCATGGTCCCCCCACACTACCATGGTATAACATAATAATAATAATAATAATAATAATAATAATAATAATAATAATAATAATAATAATAATAATAATAATAATAATAATAACAATAATGTTTATTCTGGTAAAAGTGCATACATACAAAATGAGTTACAAACAGCACGTTAGTTTTCTAAATAGAAGTAGTATACACTATGCCCAAAGCCAAGGAATTTGTTCATTGATATATACATTATCACGTTATTGTGATTTCTCTTGCGTATGCTCCAGTCCTTTGATGTATATGTGCTGACAACAGCAGGAAGCACAAGTCGTATATTAAGGCTGAGCCTGACATTAAACTCTGACACCAGAGACTTGGGTCAGTGATCCAACCGTTACTACTGTTACGTTTCTAGTTTGTGGAATTTGTGTTCGCTATTAACACCACATTGTCAACATTCTTCCTGTGCTAAATTGTTAACATTTTAGCATCGTGGTGCTAAATTGATTACAGCTCCTGCCTTACGGCGATGTAGAGAGTGTCTCCCGGATCTAAGTGTTTCGTTCGGGAGAGCAAGAACTTCATCACGGGGTCTCGAGCACTCTCCTAGATATACATATATTGATGCGTACATTCTCTTTTTATAGTTATTCTGATTTTAATTTGTTGTGTCTTTTATGAGCGACGTTTGTAAGTGGGTCAGTAGGTGTTGGGCGGGTCGGGAGGTCCTGGAACACCCCCTGGAACCCCCTGGGACCTCCTGGAGACCCCCCCTGGAAACCCCCCTAGACCCCCCCCCCCCTCCTGGAACACGGTCAAGTAGTGACAAGTCTTTATTTTCGTGTACATTCTCCAGAACATCTCAGTATGTGCCGTGTCCCCTCCCTCCCCTGGGCCGTGGCTGGTGTTCGTGTTAGTAATAGTCTTGACTATCCACTTTATAAAGAAATATTTTATATAATTTTGATAGTTTAAAATGGGTAATTGTTTGTAGAGCCGATAAGGCGAGTGTCTCGGCCGCTCTAATACATATAAATATATTCTCAGCCGGTTTGACCTCATTTTGTTTTGTTTCGTCATTGACGAGAAGATCAAGGTTTCCAACACTTAGAAATACGATATTTTGTCTCCAAATAGTTCGTTGATTTACTATATTGCTGAGCATTAAGTCTGGTTGTGTTAGTGTTAGAGTATACGTGCATAAGGATAAGTTTGAACGTAGACGAGTGGCGCTGGCCTGCCCAAAATGGCCTTCCACCCCCCTTGGGTGGGGAGAGTCGTGCCTTGCGGCTCCTTCAGTGGTCTTCACGCCCCCGCCACAGCCAGTCCCTCTACTCTCACTCACCGGGTGACCTGCGTGTCCTCCACCCAAGCACTAACATCATCGCTTCATGCCCGATACTTGAGGTGTTCGGTTAAATTTAAATTTTGCCCCGAGGGGCGAGTTTATTGGGCAGCGCCACTCATGTTGTGAGTGGACACACTGCCATAGCAGCATGTACAACACTCCCGAATAGGAAGAAAACCCGCTGGGTTGTTCATCCTGTCACTTGTACCCAGACACAGCTGGAACTTGCTTAACTGTCTCAAGTGAGCAGCTCCTCAAACAAGAAGATTAACATCTATCAGCCCTTAAATTAATGTCCGTGGGGACCCTCAAACAACGAGTGAATCAATTTGCTGGTTAACTGTTTATATACTTCTCGGTGGTTGGCGTGGGGTGCTTCAGGAACCCGATGTGATAGGATAGTCACAGACTGTTGGAACTACTGTCTTCACATTGTCAGTGATTGCAAGACGAGGGCGGCCATTATGCAGGTCAAGAGAGGTGTGGTTGTGCTGTTAGTGTCCACCACCTGGTTGGCTGTAGTCCAGGCTGTGGTAGAGGAGGTCGAAGTTGACCCCACCAACACCAACGGCTTCGAATTGGGAGAGCTGTCGTTCCTGCAGTTCGTCTTGGGCTGTCTCATCTTCATCGAGATTGTGGTACTGTACTCCGTGGGCGTGCTGCCTATCGAGGTGGACCTCGGCTTCACCAACGCGGGTCTCACCAGGAGGCGACGGCCAAGAGGTGGTACAACCGTGAGTAATTCTCTTCATCATCACTGTAATATGTAATTAGAGCGTCATTAGAGGCGTGGCTACAGTGGTTTCCAGGGTGTCGGGCCACGAGAGCGGTGCCATAATTTGTTGTTACTTGAAATCGATCAAAAACTTAAGATAACTGCAGCGGTGTTCATTATACTGTTCTTGCGTAGGTTCAGCCTGTCAAAGGAAGGTCCTGTTTACACCAAAGAATTTGTACTCGTGATTTTGTTTAACGTAATGTGAACTGTTTGCAAGGTATTGGCTTGCACCATACCGTACACCAGTGGTCGATGATACCAACCTAAGGGATACCATCTTTCTAAACTATGTTTGCTTAATTTAAATCCCTTGTCACGATTTCTGGCTCAATCGAATACTTTCAGCGTCCAGTTGGAAAATAGTCTAATATAATTGAATAATACGATATTCGCCACACAGCCACATCTGTGACGGTTTGTATAAACCACTTGTGAATAAAGTTGTCAAATCTAAACTGAAGAGTAAAATAACAAATGTTTACATTCGGAGTGAACACATAATAATATGCAAGAGATAAAGGACAAGTGATAAGGGGGAAGAAATAAAGGACGAGAGATAAGGGACAAGAGATAAACGACGATATAATGGACAAGAGATAAGGGACGCGATAAGGGACAAGAGACGAAGGACAAGAGATAAAGGACAAGATATAAAACAGGTTTACATAATTACATTGCACTAAAGAAGGGATCACGAAAATGACATCTATGATCAGGAGAAAATCTTTGGAGATGGACGGGTATAGAACCAATGTTCTGGG